GAAGTTTGTTATATTCCCCTATTTCATGTCATCATGTGACAAAAAGTCACATGATGACATGAAATATTTAATTAAAATAAATGTTTTGTTCTTTTTTACTTGTAGCCTTTCAGGGTGTACCCTACACTGACTGTATTTGTATGTGTCTCTGAAGCAGAAGTACTCTGCGGCATCTCTCTGCAGCATCACCACAGAGGTGCTGAAGGTTTTGAACGCCACAGAGGAGCTGATTGGTGAGGCGGGAGGTGAGAGCTACACCCCCTCCGACTCCATGAGTGCTTCACCGATCTCCAACTGCTCCGAGACCCGGCGGCTAGACCAGAGGCTGACCAAGATGGAGGAAAATGTAAGTTGGTCAGCAGCTACAGTTCAATTATTCAATCTTGCCATCAAAGGTCGAAGGGAACTAACAGTCCAGGTTATCTCCTTCACAAAGGTGTACCTCGCTGCTGGTGCTGTGTATGGCCTTGAGGGGGCGCTGGGGGACCTAGAGCAGTGTGCCCGCAGTATTAGCAGTGGTACCACAGACACAGATCTAGCTTTCCTGGAAGACCAGGTCGCCACTGCAGCTGCTCAGGTCCAGCAGTCTGAAATACAGGTACTTTTTTTTTTTCATGAAACTCAGGTTTGAAGTCACAAAATTAGGAAGTGGATATCTGAAGGTGAAAATAATGACATAGTTCATCACTGTAATTTGAAACATCTTTCAAAGTGCTTCTTGGGCATTTTGCCGAGACTAAAATAATTTTTTTAAGAATAATTGCATAAATCATATTGCAATGGGTTGTATTTGCTGAATGAAGCCTCCTTCTCCTTTTTAAGATCTCAAACATTGAGGCCAGAATATCAGCCCTGAAAACAGCTGGTTTGAACGTGACCGTCTGCAATCGCTTCTCCAAGTACAAGCCAAAGGCGAAGGTATCACACTGCCGTTCAAGTTTATCAACAATATCTGTGAGAACAAATGTATGTTTACTTTTTAACATGTTAAGGAACATAAGGAAAAGGAGAACATATAGCAGCTCTAAACCAGGACCAGGGTGTTTGTGGTGTCTAATAGATTCTCTCATTACAGCCTCAAACTCTGGATTCATCACGCCATCAAAGACGGAAGCTTCCAGCACCTCCTCTGAAAGGTATCACACAAGTTGTTTTTAATGACAGCATGTGTAAGCAGAGATAAAGTAAATACAATGTCAACTATGAGGGAAATATCAATGATAAACATTTTTACAATCATCCAGCAAATTTTGATGGGAGTAGAGACTGTAGAATAGTGT